TGGAGCCGCTCAGCCCATGCCAAGCTAGTAGATACAGCACTGAATGAAACCTGCCGGTTGATTACTGGTTGCCTAAAACCGACACCGGTACAAATGCTGTATCCGCTGGCTGGAATAGCGCCCCCAGAGATCCGCAGAGCCGTCGCGGCCTCCTCCGANACAAGAACATCTAGTTGTCGTTCTGGCATTGACTCGTTGGGTTACTTTACAAAAATTGTAACTGAAAAGATTAATCTTACAACTTCTGGACCCATATCTGTGCCCATATTCTAAACACTTGTTTATTTATAAACCCTGTCATTTTGATCCACACTATCTTAAAGGGCTACATTTATTCCAAATTCAAAGTAACTTGTCAGGGATAAGCTATTTTTCAGCAGAAATTTAATTAAAGTGTCAAAAAGAAACGACGAACATATTGATCGCTATCACCCTTTCCTAAAACCTTAGCTACCTATAACTTTAACAGTAGGAAAAATTCAGCACTAGTCATAAGTATTAATTTATTTTAAGCTGCTGTTATGTTGTCAAGCTAGCTATAGCTCAAATTATAGCTTGAAGGTTCAAACGCTTGCCAGCACTTACGTTTCAGGCATATTATAATTAGTGAGATCGCGTGATATGCCGTGCTCGGAACATTTCTCTTGAACCTGAATATATCAGAGTTAAGCAAGGCTAATCGATGTCGACGACCTTGAGGCCCTGTACCTTTCCATAATCACGGATTAAAACTCTTAAGACTTTTTTTTAAAGGTCTCCAAAGCTCTTTCGTCAATAGGCCGTAGGTGTTCAGGTGGGGATTCTCAGATGGTTCAAACTTGGAGTGCAAGTGTGGTTGTGTTCCCCAGTCGATGAAGCGCATGATGTCGTGCCCTGCGTGCCCAAACAACTGCATGCAGGAAGATTTAGGTAATTAATGCTACTGACAACGCCACTCTTGTGGCAGAGTTTTGGGCTGGCACTGTGTAGGTTTGTTGTCGACACGACAAGAAGAAGAAGAGGTCGTTTCTCCTTAAAACATTTTGGTCCATGTTTATAAAACAAATCTCCAAACTTAATTCAATCTCAGATAATGATTTAGTGATTAGGCTAACTTGGTCTAAATATGGAAATTCAATCAATTCAATTGCGAAAAAATTTCCATTGGCTAACCATGTGACATTATTTCACTTTGCTAAATGTTCAAAGCTAAAGTTAAATAATTCAAAATCTGTATAATAAATAAATATTTATTCTAATTATATTAACTAGAGGTTTTTAATGTAATTGAATTCTCTTTCATGGTATTCATGGTACCTACTATATTCTTCCATAAATCTAACTAAAACCATTTTTTTATATAAAACCACATTTCGACGACTACAATAGTATTGAATTCACTGTAATAGTTTTTATGACTTATTGTTGCAGAAGTAATAGTGAACAATAGATTTTGTTATCAAGTAAGTTGCATGACAAATCGAAATAGCAATTTTTACATTAAATAGATAAACATAGGTAATATGTGCAAAACTTTCCGTTAATATTCAAGTAACATTTGACTGGAACTGAACTGAACTTGTGGAGCCGCTCAGCCCATGCCAAGCTAGTAGATACAGCACTGAATGAAACCTGCCGGTTGATTACTGGTTGCCTAAAACCGACACCGGTACAAATGCTGTATCCACTGGCTGGAATAGCGCCCCCAGAGATCCGCAGAGCCGTCGCGGCCTCCTCCGAGAAATCGGCCATGCTGAGTGACACACGGCACCCACTTTTCAATTACGACCCTGTGCCTCAAAGGCTAAAAAGCCGAAGCAATTTCGTAAAAAGTGTGTCCCCTCTCCTTCATGACGATCGGTCAAAAGAGAGATGCAGGTTATGGCGCGAGAGAGCTGATCTCCCCTGCCCTTTTGTCCCTATGTCTGAGAGTCCTCCACCTGGACATGAGCTCCCCTGGCTTACCTGGAAGTCTTTAAATAGACTTCGGACGCAGGTTGGCCGTAGTAAGGACAATCTGGCCAGGTGGGGATTCTTGGATGGCTTGAACATGGAGTGCAGGTGCGGTTTTGTTCCCCAGTCGATGAGGCACCTGATGTCATGCCCTGAGTGCCCAAGCAACTGCACTCAGGAGGATTTGATGAGTGCTACTGACAACGCCACTCTTGTGGCGGAGTTTTGGGCTGACACTGTGTAGGTTTGTTGTCGACACGAAAAGAAGAAGAACATTTGACTGTCGCCTTGTTCAAGTTGAATATTGAAAAAAAAAACAATAATCTAAAAAAATAATGCTATGCCTGAATGAGTACTTTAGTACTCAAATTATGATTACCTACTTATAACGCTCATAATGAAAAATTATGCCAAAAAATACTCAAGACTGACAGTTGACTTGGAAAAACCGGTGATTTAAATGAATTTGTATGGCTTTTACAGACAGTTTACGAAAAGAAAATAAAAATGTTACGCATTTCAGATTATAGAATAAACCGTTTAGATATGGAAGAGACATTTTGAGACAACTAATCTTATTATTACGGCTCAAGTACAATAAAAAAATTACGTAGGTATTTCTTATCTAAAATAACTAAACAAACTATAAATATGCAATTTACTCCCTAAAACCACGTTGTACATGCCAATAATTTCTGCTATGGTTTGAATTAAATCTTCTAATTAATATGTAATAGATAGGCTAAGTAGGTATGCCTATTAATCCTAAACATACTAATTGGTAGACAAATGTCATGCCCTCCAAAAACCCCTTCGTTATCGGATAAGATTGTAAGATTTTTTGCTGGCTTGATGTGTTGTCCAGACAATAGAGTGGTAAAACTCACCTCGACTGTTTCCTAAAGACTACCACCATAGCGTACCTATATGATATGATCACCATCCCCACCAGCTGGCCTAACTGCAGGCTGGGAAATAGATCCAGAAGAAAGAACACAAAACTCACCGCGTGTAGCGGCTTTGACTGGTTCCTGAAGAGTGCCACCAAGGCGTATATGAGTATGGATATGGTGACTGCAGTTAGCCGCGCCAGGATCACCATCCCCCGTACTGACTGCTCGCTCCTGAAGAGCTGTCCTACAGAAAATGTAAAAAAAGTGGACAAAACTCACCGCATGCAACGGTTTTGACTGGTTCCTGAAGACTGCCACCAGGGCGTATATGAGGATGGATATGGTGACTGCAGCCAGCAGTGCCAGGATCACCATCCCCACTAGTCGTCCTGACTGTTCGCTGCCGAAGAGGCGCGTTGCGATCGCCGTTGACACCGTCACAAATATCTCAGTCAGAGATTTCAGCTGTGGATGTAAGAAAAACAGTGTTAAGACTCAAGTAATTTTACACAGCGTTATGGGTCAGTTAGGATTAAGAAAAGTTCGCGCTATTCAAAGTCAAAGTCAAAATTTCTTTATTTGTTTAGACTAATAAATAGTTCTTACAAATCGTCATATCCCAAGTAACACAAAACACAATTATAAGAAGCGTACAACAGCATGAACCTACGTGCAGAGCAGTATATAAGCAGCATATGTAGCACTATATCAGCCGTATAAAAGTCTATAAGTGTCTTGTAAGCGCAATTTGGGCCCCAAATAATACGGCTTTGAGCATTATTAAATATTATTAGTGCTGCTAACCAGCGCTTATAATGTTATTGAAGACAGACATTAGTAAAGTTGTTAGACAGCATATTCTAATGTAAAAAGCATTTTATTAGATGTTAGTACAGCTTTGAAACAGCTTTCAGAATTACAATGCCAAAGTTACGTTTTATTCTAAGGCTGAACGTTTTATTTTGTTTGTTTGAAAGTATTCGAAAAAACTTATCGCATTTTATTGTCCGATTTGATTATTTTTCGTTTAGAGTATTGCAGTGCAATGGTGTTGTGAGGAGATGTTTTAATGTCTTTATTTAAAATAATTTATCATAAGGTAAGTATCATATTTTTTTGTTTCAAGAATGAAAATGAGCTGGGAGTATTAGTCTTATGTGAAAATATATATATGTTTGTGGTTTATAATTCACGCGCCCTCACAGAAATCCTTTTTTTAATAAAATAGGGACAAATTTAGAATCGACATATGACACTTTTTGTGATTTTTTTAACGATTTGATTAATTTTAACTTATAAAATTGCTTCTATCGATACTCCGCTTGTAAGAAAAGGATAATAAGTAGTATTTCATGCATATGTGTATTATAATTTTATTTTCTATGTTAGAGAAAACAGAAAGCAAATGGCGTCAGATAATATTAATGTTTTAAACTTTCAACTAGTGTCTTTTAATGTTGTCAGTCTTATTATAGTAAAAAGAAAATGGTTAAGTCATTCAACCTACATATAAAATATCTAAGTGATATCTTTAGCATTACTGTAACACTTTTTAGGTTGCTCTTAAGGAGCCTCTACATGTCTCATAATCTTTTTACCCTACCAGCGCTTCGAGACCAACATTTGGCAAGTGCTGAGAAGAAGCGCCGCAACAAACTCAGTCACCACTGTCTGCCGGTTAATATAAATAAATAGAAATAGTAGTAGTAGGTACATTCGATTCAGGAGCAGTTCACTGAATTTACCATGCATTCTTGTATGGTGTATCATAAGAATGGGTATACAAGATTGCGTGGTATATTAAACAAGGTAGTGACGTGCTAATATCTAGACTTACATATTAAGGTACTAGTAGAAATGACTCGCATATATTTTATTACACACGAAAACAAGTGTAGGTACATGTTTAGTGGTTTGAACAGCCCTTTTTCATAGACTGCTGAGAACTATTAAGAAGAACTAAGCATACATCTGCTGCCCAAACCAGAAATTTCAACGGTTCAACAACATCCAAGGATTAACTCATAAAATACATACGAGTGCATCGGCAAGCTCTCTCCTACGATTCTACCGTATAACCCAACAGCAGTGATCGTCAAACAAATCTTTGCACCTGCTGGACCCAATTAAGTTATGTATATTCAAAAGCAAACCATTAATAAAAAATATTTCACCAGAGTGACGATACTAAGGATCACGAAGATGATCTTGAAGCATGGCTGGCAGCATCCCGACCTTCCGACCCTGGCTGTTAGCTTCGCGAACTCCAGTTTGGAGGCGGCGCTTTTGACCTCCACCGGTTCGACCGGGGCCGGCACTGGCACATCATTTTTGGTCACCTTCGACTCTTTCGCTAAAATTTGGAAACGGTTATGGTTATGTGGTGTAGTAGAGATATTTTGGCATTGGATTATATACTCAACATCAAATAAATCGCACCTCCCGTAACAAGCACTTTCAAACGTATGCATTCCCACTTCCCACCAATATTGGCACCATTTAAAAGCCTAGTTCTAAGCTTCATTTCATTAAAGGAAAGGTTTTTACCCCAAAATGTGTCTTTAGAAGGATCCAGAGTCACTTCTTCAAAAAATAGGCTATTACGCTTAAGCCAACTTTTATGGCTATAAAACTGTTAAGTTGAGATTAATCGGTATCCATCTGTTAAAGAGGACACGTGATCATTATTCGGTTTTTTAACCATAAAATTTGGTCTAATTGATCCCAGAGGTGAGCCCAAAGTGAGGTCTCTTTTCAAGTCACATTTATGGTATGTGATAATCATTTATTTAGAAATTAAATGTGTTTTTCTTTAAGGATATTTATTGGGCTTTCAAATAACACCAATATTGTTGGGGCACCATGATTGTGTCAGAAGAAAATCTTTAAAGTTCGCGTCGCGGAAGGTGCGGTTTATTTGATGTTGAGTGTAGATAGGCAGTACAAATACATTAAAAATCATGTCGTGGAGACACTACGTGAAAATTATTTCTAGCTGAAAGGTGACGCCTCAAATAATTTTAATAATATTTGCATCACCAATTTGACAATAATAAGCAAGTGTGGTTCATACTATTGATATTTAACTACAATTTAAATGTTTACGCAAAAACATTACGCAAAAATTATTAGTAGCTAAACTATTACTAGTGAGTTAACATGAGTAGACTCTATAATATTTTTGGTAATTTACATCATCAATTTGACAATATTAAGAAAGTTCTTGCCAATACTAATGAATTACTGATATTTAATTATAAATTTAAGTACCTACATAAATGCAAATCACAACAAAACAATAACTCTTGAAAGAAAAATATACTAACTTTCTTTAGGAAAAACTTTCATATTACTGTAAGGAGGCATTATGAATTTCTCCTTTATAACATTCAAAGAAATAACTTTCTTGTACTGAACCGATCGAGCTGAAGATGATGACCATCATCCTCATCACTATTAATCACCACATCTCAACGAAGGCTGTCACTAAACTGTTTTGATTGCAGACTAAAGGTGTGTCTATCCTTCTTATCTAAAACTTTATCACTCTGAGTACACTAATGTTAATTAACTAAATAACGTAATTTTTGAATATATCGTAAATTACTCTCAAAACGTCAATACTGGAGATTTTTATTGCTCACGACTTCTTAAGGATTTACTTAAGACTGGGATTACGCATCACTGGGAAAGTGTACAGGGGTATTTCTCCGGATCTGGATTATTTAGTTGATTACCCCGACCTTTTTTATTTTTGAATTTAGAGTAAGTTTAGGTAAAACATTTCAAAATAGACATTGTTACGTGCATATTTTTTATATTGGCCCATCTGTAGCAAGCAGGAATAAAAAGTTATGTGACATCAAAATTTTCATGGTCGGGGTAATCAAAGTTGGGAGTCAGAGTAATCAAAAATAAAACAAAATATTTTATTTTCTAAGGTTTTTTTTTAAGTTATGGTGAAATAAATGTTATTAAAACTAGCCATTTCTTATTCTGATGTATAAACGACAATATTGTAAAGTTTTAACAATATCTGTTAAGTAGTTGTTGCGTAAAAGACTAAAAACCTTTCGCTTATACGTATAATATTAGTGATTCAATGTCCTATGTCTCCTATATGGGACAGAAGGCGTCCACAACACAACAGTCCTCCATCGCATTCGGTTTTGAGCTTCGCGTTTGATCTCGCTCCAAGTCTTGCCGATCTTCTTCGCCTCGTCTGCTACAGTGCGCCGCTATGTTTTTTTGGCGCGACCACGTTTGCATTTTCCCTAGGGGTTCCAATCTAGGGCCTGCTTGGGGATATTATCGGGGTCCCTTCGGAGAGTATGGCGATCCGGTTCCACTTGTAGCGTTTGATCTGCTGGCCGATCGGTATTTCGTAGCAGGGTTCCAAGAGTTTGTCGTTTGGAGATTTTGGAGAATTCGGCGAATACAGCGGCTGAAGAAGATCTGCAGCTGGTGCGAGATAACCTTAGTGGCCTTTCACGTTTCACACCCATAGAGCCGAACTGGTTTGACGTAGGACCCGAATATTTTGATCTTGCGTGGGTCAATTTCCGTAATTGCCATACGGCTCGAAGTTGTGCGAAGGTAGCTCTGGCCTTGGCAATGCGCGTTATGATGTCCTTTTCGGTACCTCCAGGCTCTGACACGATGCTCCAGAGGTAAGTGAAATTGTGGACTCGTTCCACAGCCTCTGCACCAACGGTGCCACACACAATTCCTCACTCCAGATCGCATCTCTTGGGTCTTCCGATACTGATACCCTTGCTTTAGCCTTTTTTCGGCACAATAATTAGAAGCCCCTTATGCCAGTCATCTGGGAGTTCCTCTTCCATCCAGATGATTTCGGCGACAGGTGTCAGGACGTCGACGGCGGAGTTTACATCGGCTTTCAGCATATCTGCGGTGATAAAGTCGAGTCCAGGGGTCTTGCCAATTTTGAGAGACAGGATAGCCTTGGTCACTTCGTCGCGGGTTGGTGGGTTAACGTTGACATCGAGCAGCCTAGGTGGAGTAGAGTGTCTCAGGTCCCACAGTGTCTCAGGCGTGGTGGTGGCGACTGTTACACCGGTAGGGCGGAAGATAGGATAAGATATTATTATCATTAATAATATGTATTAAAAGGATTTCATATTAGTAAATGGTTATTTTTGCTTATTAAACGTTATTTAGTTAATAATTCATTAGTAAAATTACAGTTCTATTGATTACCCGGTGACAAAAGTCGGGGTAATCAAGGTCGGGGTAGTCAAAAAATTAAGGTTAATCCTGAGCCCTGCCCAATCTGTAAGTTGAATCCCAAAGGTTTTAATACACAAAAATGCGGTTACATGGACCATTATTCCTGTACATTCTCAAAAACTTTCCATGTAAAGAAACCTAAAAAAACAGGATAGAGTAAATCAACCGTGCACTGAACCAAGGTCTGGGTAATCATATTCTTATCTCGATAACTCCGAAATCTTGCGACGAGTCGCATTACCGGACACCTCGGCACGCAGGCCACCACTAAAGGTTCACGGGGGAGGATAGAGCTCGTTTCTAAATTGCGTAGCTAGGGACGTAGGCGCACATTAGCGACGTGTCGGGGTAATCACGGTTAACGCCCGGACACAACTTCAAATAGTTATTTTACAAAACCTTTTAGTGATATAGTTATATCGGATTTAATTTATCAATGTTTATTTATTCAGTAATCGATTACATAAGCATTGAAAGCGTTAATAATAGCAGATTAATTTATACGAGCAAATTTGTTCTGAAATCGGGAGCGCGGACACGTCGTGGTAATCAATTTTTGACGACTTACGATTTTTTTTAAATTACTTAATTAACTATTATTAACTATCTCTATGGTTTAACAACAAGAACCAAAGTTATACTATTAGATAAAAATATTTGTTACTAAAATATTAAGATATTCGGGTACTTTTTGGCCTCGGACACGTGATTTTCTTGGCCGGTGGAATGACCCACAGATAACAACAACATCATACTTAGATTGCTGTTGTATAATCACCCCTATCACAATCACATAAGATGCTACAGTATTTACCTAGACGTATCGCTGTCTGTAGACTCAGCTTCAAATAGATCGTGACACCCAAAGTAACCAAAAAGTTCGCAACACGTCTTTGTCACAATGCGGGTTTTCGCGATTCAAAAATCTGCCAGATGGCAATACGTAGACGCGAGGTCCAAATGCTGCATGATTGGTTATTTTTGACATGACATTGACAGATATGTCAAAATCCACCAATCAGCAGCAGTCAGACCCTACATCCACGTCCCGCCATCTGGCGGATTTTTAAATCGCGAAAACCCTCAATCAACTTTTTTGCCACTTTGAGTGTCACAAACTATTTTATGATGACTATAAAAGTGCTTTCTGTTAAAAAAAAAAATGTCAGTGACAGTTCTAAAGTGCTCATTTGAGAAAATCCATAGAATAGCTAACATTATCCATAAGTTTCAATAATAATCTTGTGCCATGTGAACTCTACATTTTATTTGTAATAGTGAAATCCACTCAAAACCGTCCACTTACCCTTAAAGGCAGATTTAATTGCTTCCATATTTTAGAAACTTCTTTTTTGGCTTTTGTCGATTCTCTTCTGTTTTTAAACTACGCACAGGGGACAAAATACAATAAAATTGAATCATGACCAACCTAAATCTATGCTACATCCCAAATCTACCAATTACTTCAGAAGTTAAATGTATTAGCACAGAATACATAAGTTTAATAGCAAGGAGGCCAATCCAAAAAAATTAGAATAAGTAAGCTTGTAAGAAAAGTAGAAAATCATTTGCTCAATACAATATTTTAAGACAACTGATTTTATTTGTTGATTTAACTAAAGGATCCGTAGCAATGTGATTTGCATCTAACCATATTACTACATTTTCAGGCTCAAATACCCAAAAGTTTTAGTCACTCTGTTTTTTGACAGAAGAAGAAGAGAGTTTACAATCTATCCTAAAGGATAGAATAAGATAGTAACTAAGTTACGAGTAGGTAGCGCAAAGTTATAACAACTTTGAACAATTTTTATCTAGTAGTTTAGTACTTATTTTATGTGATTTGAGTTTAGGACCGAAAGCAGATAACTAGCTTTGTTTAGACACCAATGCAATAGGGTTGTCAAAGCTTAAAAGTTTTTCACTAATCAAAAATGGCCACAGACATCCAGCGGTCATGATCCAATTTAGTCCACTTCAACCACTCACTCACCTTTCCCCTTGTCCGAACTTCCCATGATATCTTCCCGGGTACTGGCCTCGAAAATGCGCGTCGCATCTGCCACTCCCGCGCATATATACGCGCGTAACAATAGTTCCACGGACGAATGCGCGAACGCACCGCTTCTATCGCATAATGGAGGGCCTGCCGAACAGGTATGCTATTATAATGGATTTATATTGCGAAGTAATCTTAGGGTAAGATCAGGGTTCTTACAAAAAAATAAGAATCCCATCAAAAACAATACTTGTCAAAAAAACCAAGTCTCGCAACTCAGTTGTTCTACGGTAAAAAGTTGTGAGATCCACAGGTACCATGATTGTGTCAGAAGAAAATATTTAAAGTTCGCGTCGCGGAAGGTGCGGTTTATTTGATGTTGAGTGTATATTGACTTGGCCATCGCATGAAAACACGTGTAAATTAAATTATTTAGTGCGATGGCCAAGTCAATAATTTATGTAAAACGTTAAAGATTTCCTGGCCTGGACTTGGTATTACATGGATCTCACAACTTTTTACCGTAGAACAACTGAGTTGCGAGACTTGGTTTTTTTGACAAGTATTGTTTTTGATGGGATCTCATTTCTTTTTGTATTTTGTAGACAGCAGTTATGTATCTAGAAAACTGGACCGAAATTGAAAAATTTTACTCGACTTGGCGGTTGCACTACCGTGCCCCCAAATATTTTAGTTTTTCCTTGATTCATACACCAAACACTACTTATATTCCAAATTTGAAGCTTCTAGGTCTGCTAGAAGTGCCTTAGAGTTTTGATGATCGGTGAGTCAGTGAGTCAGTCGGTGAGTGACAAAATTAAGTAACTTTGACCCGTTAAATAATTCTTAAACTGGTTCAAATTGAATGAAATTTTAAATATACCGTGTCTTTACAATGCCTGCATAGCTAATGAAAATTCAGCCTTCTAGTTTTATCCACAACGAAGTTACCACAACGATGGTACGGCCGAGCCGCTTTTTTGCTCGACTTAGTGGGGGCACTGCCGTGCCCCCAGAATAATACTTTAACACACATTATAGAAAATACCGCTCCACCTGATATCCCTATTACTACACTATGTCCGTATTCTCTCTTATACGGTCGAACATCTTTTATAGGGCTCTACAAAAATACGTTCGCTCAAGGAATAAATTCTTTTAATTCGTACTATTACTTGCAAATAAATAAATGGTCCCAAAAAAAAAGTAACATTTAGTCGACGTCAATTTTAATAATTATTAAGCTAGCCTTCTAGGAAAGGATTTGTTTAGTTTTTGCAACCCTAAATGTAGACACGTGTTCATAGAATACCAGCAAAATACTGACACGTCATTTAAAAGTTAATTTTCTCTATCATTAATCGCCATTCTAGATTATCAACTTATCGTACAATATTTAGCCTTCGAGTACTTTCAGGCGAGAAGAATGGCTGAAACAAAGTGAAACTTTCCAGTTTGTTGTTGTATGCTACAGATTCTAGATGTTTACCCATGCTAGAGTTGCTGAAAATCTCTCTAATCATGTTTTTTTAATGTAGCTTTATATTAACTATTATTAATCAAGAGTTTTAAGTTATCAATCTGTAAAAAAGTTTCCTCCATTCAGCTAGGTATTTTCAGTTCTCGTAAATTTCATTCAACGGGAAATATAACTAGTGCAAAATATAGCATCATAGAAGTGCACATACCACAGTATAATACGAGTAAATTCCATGTAACATAACGAGTGTCTTACTTGTTCACGGTCTGGATTTAGCAATCTACATCGCAACTATTATTTATCAACCTTATTCTTTCATTATGTGTTTTCCGTATTTGTAAAGATAAAAATTTAACAATGCAAAATGTACGCTTTACTTGTAGCTGTACAATAGAAGCATTTTCGCAAGTTCTACAAACATTCCAAGTGAAAAAATTACGGCAACTAATTTTTAATATGAATAAGTCACTAATTTTCAACTGCTTTACGTAGTAGGTTTTTTAAAGCTCTACCACATCCACACACAAAATATAAGTATGAAAATATAGTTATTAAATTACATAAAAACAAAGACCAAAAAGCATATCATCATCATCATCATTTCAGCAACAGGACGTCCAGTGCTGAACATAGGCCTCCCCCAATGATTTTGCCTTTTGCTATTGTAAAGTCAAAATGAAAGAAAAGCGCAATGTACACAGCAGGCAATTAAGCTACCTACTTGTTTTACTGACGAAAATAAGTAGCTTGAAATTTAGAAATACCCACGAAAACAAACGAGGCCGTAACCAAGAAAATTCAAATAAATTATAGTAATTTACCTGCGCAATAAATGCATAAGTACGCCTTCCGTTGTTCTTCAATCAAGTCAAACACGTACAACACTGGCTCCGCATTCTACAACACACAAACATACGTCACGGCACTTTTCACCATATACAAATCTATAATAATCAAATTAGTTATATTGCACATAAGAAATATCGAAGATATCTTACACAATAACCATACACGGCTAACATGTCTGAGTCTGAATAAACCACTAGAATATAATAAATCAACATGTAACCATTGTTTAACGTGGTTAGCACATTGTACGTCGTGTGCGTAAATACTTTATTTTTGGACGTAAATTGAACAATGTGGATTGGAGATACCAGGATGTCAATCAATGAAGCAACTATTGTTTAAACAACATAATTTAATTATGAATTATGAATATTACATAGACTCCTACGTGATTTACGAAATAGTAGAATTACGATTTGACTGACAGAAGGAGTGATGCATCATTTATTTACATTTGTTTACAATTACTCGCAATGCGGGTTTTATATGATGTTAAAATACCAAGTGAGTTTCTGGAAATGTTAGACCAATATCCAGTGGAAACAGATCAATTTTAACCCTTATCAGGTTATCCAAAATAACTAAACTTTTAAGGAACCCCCATATTCAAGTGAATAAGGGTTCCGAACTCTACCATGTCATAGCTTAAGTATGCTACAGTGTTTTCTTTATAACTAAGACATTGTAGAGTTTTGAAATCTATAGGAAAAGAAAAAATAAATTACCTGTATGACTATCTTTTCAAAAATAGCAATAACTTTTTAATCATCGAAAAATGATAACTCACGATCCGTACAAAAGAGCAAAAGATCAACACCATAGATAAACATTAACCTTCTGAAGGGGCGAGAGGTTCCTTGGAACCATTACAGCAAGATTTATGGTTTTACCACTTGGACCAACGAAAATAGTGCTTCAATTTCAGAGGTACAATCGAGGGCAGAACTGTTAAAGGCAGTTTTAAGTTTAAACAATTAGGCTGAATTGCACCACCCAACTTTGAGAGTAACTATAACAATAACCGGTGTTTTTTGTATGAAGTTTGACAGATTTGTCGTTTTTCAAAGTTAAAGTAAGATGGTGCAACCCAGCCTTAGTGTATTAAAATACATTTTGTAATTCGGTGTAATCGTTTAGATCTTTAATGAAATGGACTGCCTTGAACGATCCGATGGTACGTTTATTTGTAATAACAAGCAAAAATAATAAAACATCTTTATCAATCAATGGTGACTGAGTTTCTTGCGCTGCTTCTTCTCAACATGGTCCTTTTTTGTCCCGGAGCAGTGTTAGGGTTGAAGTAATACTGAAACGTGTAATTTTTCAGAAAATAAATTATTTCTATGACTCATAAAATCTACCAAGATAAATAAATATAGCCTTTTTTATGAGTGGGTAGGTACCAGATAGAATAGGTAATGGATGTTATTGTGATGTCCCATTGAATTAATATTCTATCAATCATTCTACAGCAAAAATATAGCGAAGGACTTTTCCTTCGGCAGTCCATCATCACAGGTCATAGCCATCAAGCCGCCATTGCGTTGCCATGGCAACCGCCCCACAACACCTGACACAAAGCTTTGTCCACCAACCAACCAACACTTGGCCTTGGTGGTTGAAGAAATTCGCATTGTCCATGGTTTAATATTGAATTTGTATGGTAATGAATTAAAAGCGTAAATTGAAAGTGCTGAGTCAATGAACTTTTTATTTAAATGACTGTGTGTAAACTGAAAAATAACAAAGCATTAATACAAGGATTTATTTGCAATTGTATTGAAGCATGGCCATGCGTTGTCTAGACTTGAAAAATATTGGTAATATTTTGAAACAGCATTGTATTTTATACTCTTTATATGAAACAGAATCTTCCTTATTTCCTCCACTTTACTACAAGCCAACTAAATGTCTCTCATTCATCATCTCTCATGCAAGCTAGTGGCATCTTCTTCTACACCATATAGAGTGCACGCTCGATTATACTTTCAGTCTACAATTAACTTCTTTCTTTGAACCTCAGGCCTTTAGGAAATTTCCTACTTCGTCCACAACTACCGAACCATTTTCACAACATTAAGGTTTTTAAAAAAGGCAGACGTTTCAGCAACTTCTGGTGTCCAAGAAACTCCATGAACCGTTTTGCTCGTTTGCCCCAACATCAACAAAAACCATATTCAACCTTTAATGTGGGGTTAAAATAAATCGGCAATCGATAGGGCAACATGGAAAACTACAGGTGTCAAAATGTTTACACCCCAAATTGAAGGGTGGAAGATTAATGGTCTGTTTTGAAAACATTTTAGGCATTAATTCGGGACATGTCAGGTGCCAGAGGGAAGGGGAAAAGTTTACATGCTCTATTTGAAAAGTAATGAACTTGGTTTGATTGAAATCATGATCATCAACTTTGACGACTGTGACGAACTGATTAAGGCTCTACTGAGCAGTTGAAATTCATTTGACCAGTAAATACTTTAATTAAACATTTGTAAGACTTTATTTCTGTCAGAACAATAATGAATTAAGTTTTCATTAAATTCTTTGAATAAATATTTAATTCGTAGAACACCAAGGTTGCATTAGACCACAATTATTCATTTCTAATAAATTTTCTATTGTCTCGATTCTTGAATTAATACTTGAATTAAAGTAATCAAATGTAATGTCGTAAATAGCAAAAGAATGTTAAATTGTAATAAAATTAAAGAAAATGAGGCTAAATCTGATTGTCGTGCCCGAAATAAACCAAGTCAGTCGTGATGTTGTTAGAAAATTCCACTTCCTAGAAAATTTCCATCATGTAGAGCTTTGTGCTCATAGATACGGACACTTTAAACTTAAAAACTATGAACAACTTTCTTACTAAATTAGAAAAGGCAAGTTGGTTCTTCTTTTGTTATTTATATAAATAGTACTACTAGTAGCCGAACTTACGAGCCACGAAAAATTTCTATTATCTTGTGAACATTTATTAGAAGAAATTAATAAACATTTTTTCAAGAATGATCTAAATCTTAAATATTCCTGTCGACCGCTAGATAGTGATGAGCTCACTCATAACACAAACTTAATATTTGAGCTTTATCTTAGCTTGAGAGGAAACAGGAATTTTTATAATTACGAGTAGGTACGTAAGTATATTTACGACAGTTTTAGAAATATAATAAGAGTACTTTCTAAGTTTCTATTTACCTGTTTTAAATTTAAAGGCTTGTCTAGAACTCTAGCATGGCTTTAACCATTTTCCTCTTTTTAAATATGTATCGGGCACATGAAAGAACTACCAAAACCACTTTGTAAGGAAACGAAGGAAGGTAAGTAATTTACCAAACTGGAGCGATGACCCGTAAGTGTATTGACCAATTTATTATTTAAGTACTAGCGGGAAGTGTAACATTTCATCAATTAGAAATCGTGGGTTCGAAGCCCCGAAGACAAACAATGATTTTCATACAGAAGCTAAGGATTTTTAATGAAATTAAGTTTTATTTATCTTTTACCATGCCGGTATGGCAATAACAATGTAGCATGGTCAAATAAAAGGCTTTATTTTCATTTATTTACTTATTTAATGCCGATATGGAACATTGTGATTCTTCCATACATTTTGACAACCTCTGCATCGTGCCTCATGTCTAGCTTGCTGTTTGACAGAGATTCTATTCTTATCGTCAATGAGTTTGATACATTTGGATTCGATTTCCAGACGGGACATAATTTTAAGGACATTGCAAACTTGAATACAGAATAAGTACCTCTATGGTCCAAAAATAAATATGATCCCTTAGATTAGATGTTACACTTTTTAAAGTGTCTAAAACGAGCCGGAAGACGTAGTGTGGGCAGGCCTTCCATTAGGTGGACCGACGATCTGGTGAAGGTCACGGGAGGTGCCTGAATGCGGGCGGCGCAGGACCGGTCTTTGTGGAAATCCTTGGAGAGGCCTTTGTCCAGCAGTGGACGTCATTCGGCTGAAACGACGACGAAAACGAACAGTTTCTTTGGTGGGTTTATATAACTTTCTGATACAGCTAAGCTGACCAACGGTCGCCGTCCATTTAATTTCACTCATATTTCTTTTTTACGTTTATACAACCGGTGATTTTAATCTCCGATTAGTTATCAGCAGTACCGTCAACAATAAATTGTTTCAATGTCAGGTTCAACTGAAACCCAATCTAAAGCTTTTACCTAGCTAGAATAAAGCTCTATACACACCACTTCATTCGAAATTAATTGATTTATTTCAATAACAATTACATTCAGTAGGTACTCCAATATCATTCTTGATGATGCTAAAACATACTTCAATATAGGATTTTTATGTAGCACCAGTAGCACCCACACGAGTACACTTCAATGCTCTGCATTTTCTAAAATTCTCGGCGAGACATCATATTTTAGAATTTAACTTAATTTTTTTTTCTTAACCTTACTTAGCTTTTGCCAACGCCAATTACTTATGCGCCTGACTCAGAAGCGAAGCGCAGTTTCACCTCGAAGTAAAATTAGATTATAAATAATTGCACAGGTACATACTTACTGCATTGTACGAATAATACAAGTACAGTAGCCTGGATTACATGTACCTACTTATTATTAGCTAAGTGTAGAGCACCCCTAAGACCTAGGTCCGATAAACTTGACTTACTCCGTACCTATCAAAACGTTATCAGAAACCCGGTCCTAAACGTAATTACTAAGCCACTGTAAAACGGGGTTCCATGAGAGCTGAAAAAAATCTAATGAAAATAAACTTTATTGCCTAAAGTATACATATAAGTTTGTCGCAGTTAATGACGGCGAAAGTGAAATAAAATAAAGGTTTTAACTTATAAGTACATAATTTACCTCCGTAAACTAAGGTCATGTATTCTGGATGATGTCATTTTATAAATTATGATGATAAGTAAATGAATTAATTTTATTATTTAGGTAACTTAATTTTATATGGTTGGGTTAGATTTGCACCATCCTAAATAACGTTAACAAAAGTCAAAGGTCTGTCAAAACCCCTTCAAAAACACCACTTATGGTTATAGTTACGGTTACTTAAGGTGGTGCAACTTAAGTTTTCTAGGCATCTCACCAAAGGTTGCCCTCATTGGAATTCGACCCCGCTACCGCACCATTTGGTTACATACCCGCACCACTGAGACCGCGGCCTTAGAATTCGCAAACAATAATTTACAATTTATTAAAACTTTCGTAGTATGTACGGAACTAAACCAATTTCCATATTAGTAAGCATTTAGTAAACACGTAAAGACGTTCTAAAGAAATTTCGCCGAAGTCCAAGCATGACCCCAGGGTGACTACCCTCAGTGTTCAAAACTTGGTTGCCATGACAACGTGGTGTACTAACCGGAGTTGTGGCAATTTATGCAAATTAATAGGTATATTTAGCGTTTCCTTAACACGTGATAAAATTATAATTGCTGCAATAAATAAATAAAATAATAATAATGGCAACGTGACTACAAAGTTGCACCATCTTACTATAATTTTGACAAACATCAAAAATCTGTCAAACTCCATACAAAAACACCGGTTATCGTTATAGTTACGGTCAAAGTTAGGTGGTGCAACTCAGCCTTAGTCTTTGGATTCATCATCATCATTTCAGCCACAGGACGTCCACTGCTGAACATAGGCATCCTCCAATGACTTCATAAAGAAGTCATTTAAAGGTAATTTCTTCTTAATGACCTTTAAAGCCTGAAATCAACCTTTTCAGCCAACGGATTTCCTCAATGATTGGTCTTGCGCTGCCCGCATTACTAGACCGTCCAGTCCGTCCACCGAGACTTCAAATAGAAAAGTTATTTTTATATAAAAAAATACAAAAGATTATGGCACTAGTCTTTCTTTTGATTTATAGGTACCCATTAAAATAAACTGGATAATTAGTTACTTATGCGTGCCTGAAGACGTAATAAGTCAAGTATTACTTAGCTTTAATGATAGATCTAATAAAATAAGAGAGCCCCATTCATTTTAAGGCTTATTAATTGGCTATAGAATACCCTAGGATATCATTTAATTAGGTGCCTATTTTATAATTATCTTATTAATAAATCTTAGTCAAGCTTTTTATCACCTGTTAGTCCAACCAGAAAGACCAATAACCGATCGGTGAACTGACCAGTCACCCCAGATCCCTATCAGTGCTTTACGACGTCTAATTTGGGGTCCTGGCGATCTGGGTGCGTGACTACCCTCGCACGAAACTGTATAGTGCCCACTAGACCCCACTAATAAAACCCAAGCAACCCTGGCCTTACCGCATTCGCCAGAAGTCACCGGACCGACCGGCAGATCGTGTCGAAACGCAAAGCCGCGCGCACGTTTTAAAAATAAAATTCGGAACGCGACCTCTTCGGTCGTTGCGCGGGAAAAAGTTTTCAACTAATCTGTGGTGAATGAAAAATCAAACATGGAGGGCTGCGGGATGAAATGCATAAAATATCTGCTGGTGGTTTTCAATGGATTGTTTTTGGTGAGTTTTTCACGAATTAATGAGTAAATAATGATCGTAAATTTTAGTGCGCGCTCCAGTTCTAATAATGTGTCGTGCAGTCATGCATTCGAGAAGCCGCTAATTTTATTCCATGTACTGTCATCAAAACAAAACAAAATACTAGTTATCGATATTGTTTACGATTGTTATTTTTAAAACGCATATTCATTCCGTATTTTCACTTAGGAATTCATAAATGGTTGACCTACCTAAGTACCTTTCGTTTTTATTTTCATTACTTACTAGCTATGTCCCGCGGTGTTACTCGCGGTAAAACGTAGCCTGTGTTAATTCAGGGTGTCAGCTAACTCCATACCAAATTTTATTAAAATCCAGCCGTTTATACCTGAAGAAGTAAGAAACTTTCGCCTTTATAATATTATTAGTGTAATAACATAATATTATATAACTAAGTGTGATAGTGTGAATTTCCTGTTATTATTACCCATAGTAATAATAACAGTAGAATTTTTGCAAGTGATAAAGTACAAATCTTCATTCGTGTTGAAATTGAAAGTTAAATAATGTTTATGAAACTTAGACTGGAAGTTAAACGCTTTAGGATAGGTAGGTATAGATGTAAGAAGCATACATATGTATTTCTTAATATCTAGGAAATTCCTAACCGAATATTATTTTGAAGTTTACGGTTACAAACAGAAATAATAAAAATTTGCATTCAGTTCGTATGAGGAAATATTGCGGTGCTTGTTGTTGATTATTTTAATATTTGCGATTCTATTAATCAGACAAATGTCAGATTATTATTCAAGGAAATCTTCTTTTTGAATGACTTAATCTCTAAATAAAGAAAGAAATATTAAACTGCACTTTGCTATCAATCAATAAATAAATTAATGTATTTAGGGAATGTCACCTATGTAAGGATTTCAAGGTACAACACGTTTCTGTAAGTGGTCTGTCCAAATACGCCCTTACTGGGGCATCGCAGGTTACATTAACTGGTTGAACTACAGATTATGTAAGAACATAAAATACATTACGATTTTGTATAAGAGAGAAAAATGAAATAAAGGTTTTGTGTAGAGTCGAATGCAAATAGTTTTGTTGAACTTTACAGGTTAACTTTAGAAAAACTTACCAATAATTGATAAGATACGTCGAAAAGTCAGCGTTATTTTAATAAATATTGTTCAAAAACTACAACAATATGACATTTTATCAAACATCTTGAGCTAGAATGTAAATACTAAAACTAGAATCTTTTTATAACTAGTCTGTTTTTAAATCTAGAATATCTTAGTAAACTCTGTCAATGTCATATTGTTGTAGTTTTTCAACAATATTTATTCAAATAACGCTGACTTTTAGACGTGGTAAAGCACTTTCAACAACAGACTTACATTATCTTAGTTAAAAAACTTTTTTCTTTCTCTACAAAAAATATCTGTTGATCCATTTCAGAGATGCTGCTATTAAGCAATCGGGCGATTGGATACATCTCGATGGGTGGTCGTTTGATGGCTGATGCTTTAATTGCAATAGCTTGACCGCCATGCAATTAAGCTATGACAAACGCAGTTATAAATAAAATGTGACCATGAGGCTTTTTCTGTCGTCAGTTTCGTTCCGGGTTCTATAAATGGTACTGCAAAAACCATGGAATTGGGAACCAGTATTAAACTTTTTTAAATTATCTATGTCAAATTGTTCAACTCAATTTGATTTCTTGATCGGAATTGATAATCTCCACCAGATATTTTGAAATACTTAATAACATAACGGGCCTATACGAGTATGTACTGAATAAACTAATATGATAATAAAACTCACCAAAGAAAGTTCTTCATACGATTCCTTATCACTTTAATTCAACAGAGCACAATGATTTAAAAAAATATATAAACTACGAGACAAGTTACGTTAAACAAATATAGTTTGGATTTCCTCATAGTCCAAAGACACTTATGTCTTATATTGTACGAAGGACGCGTAATTCCCTGAATAAACTCACAAATATCGTGACGTAGTGGGTACTGTAGCGAATTTTGCGCTATGTACCTACTTTTGTATGAAGGTATACAAGAATTATTATTGCTATCAATAAAACAAAAGAGCTATGCTTGATGACAATACTACTAATTGTTGCAATGCTTGACGAGTCACGGAGTTGTTCAGTCACTAGGAAAATTGATCAATCAGTCGTGGCACCAAGCTTTAGTTATAACCATACGTTGGTGGGTGCATTTAACGTTTCATCTCGGATAATATATCAAGTTAGCTTACCGGAGCTCAAGCTCTAGATTTTGTGGCATGACCTTGTGTGGAACCCATTCTTGTCTGCCATTAGAGTCACTATAATGCTATAGTGTACTCGTAAAAAAAATTTTCTTTTATGTGTTTCGGTTTTACGATAGCATAATTAGTATCCAAATCTACACAATGTATTTTAGATATGCTTAATGGTTAAACTTTGGTATAAGCACATAATACACGTTCGATTTAGGCCCAGAACAGACGGTGAAACGCAACTGCAACAAAACTGCAACTTTGTGATGATTCTGATGAATGAAACTGAAACTGAAAGTATCAAACTAGTCGCGTCATGTGTGGTCTCTCAACGGACGCTATGGCAGAAACTTAGATGCAACTCAAAAGTAACTAGCAGTTGCAGTTTCGTTGCAGTTGCGTTTCACCGTCTGTTCTGGGCCTTATTCGTATGAAATGACAAACACCGCATTCAAACTCGTGTCATTACCATAATATTTTATATGCAGTGGTACCTAATCTTCCAATATCGGCGGGTAACCCCGAATTTACTACAAAAACAGGTTCATTAATATACCCTAGATTGAGAGATTACAACATAAATAGCATTAAACATAATGTGCCAGTGCTCACGTACCGTGCCTTCCTATAGTGAGGCAGTAAATTACCGGCTAGATCGAGGCAGGTGTGTGACGTCACGCCGATTCATGACTAAACCGGAGAAACTATGGTATTTACATGAGTCTAACTTATATCACTGTATGGTCAGTTACGTGACGATATGGCCGTACCTAGTACAATAGTACTGATGTACAGAACTAGCTGAACTAGCGTCTTTTTCTCTTTAGCCTTCTTATTTCGTCCTCGTGGCTTTTACACGTCCTAGAACTGCTTTAGGGCAATAATGTGGGCCTGTGCGGGAAAGAAACTGCAAGGAACTTAGCCAAAGCCTCTTTTTGAAAGTTTAACATACATTTTTAAAGGTGCGAGCTAAGCAGTCCATGCTGAAAAAAAAGCTTAGTTATTGAGTAGTTTTTTTTAATTTCACATGGTTTTTGCCAACATGAATCCGTAATACTCGTACCTTAACACTACCTGCGTGTTACAATACAAATATTTCCACTTACGTGCTACAAATCTGGTTAACTTATTCTTCAAGTTCAAAACTAAGTAAACCTAAAACACCTACAACTTTGATCTTATGTCATTAGCAGTACGGTCTCGCCTGCTAGGTGTTATGTATTTAGGTATTACGAGTATGTACAGTCACGCGAGGTCACAATCAAGTAGCTAATGTATTCGTGTTGTATTGTAAGAACAAACATACACCCTGTATAAATCTACAAAAATCTACGCTTAGTACTTTTACGGTTAGTGATTTCTGCTTAATTTACGTTTCTTTTATGGTATAGCTTAATCTTACAATCAGTCAAATGCTTTCCAGTACAAAAACACTAGTATACTTTTGTCAATCCACTGATGGATTCTAAACAGCAATGAAAATCTAATAATCATCATCATCATCATCTCAGCCATAAGACGTCCACTGCTGAACATAGGCCTCCCTAATGCTTTCCATGTTGCCCGGTTGGTAGCGTCCAGCGCCTTCCTGCTACTTCCTGCTTGTAATAGGATAGGTGCTATAGTGCAATTAATTATGCAGTATAATGTACTGTCGACTCTACATTTAACTAAAATAATTCTAAGTATTAATTGAATTCAGATTGTTGAATATTCATGCAAAATTATATCGGGGAAATGTTTTGACGAATTAATAAAATGTGACCTCTTACCTTCCAGAAAGGAAATGACGCCATAACTTTATCAGAATGACGTCACTTCGCTGTAAAACATTCGTTCTGGCTGGTCAGCGTGTGTTGGGTACCAATTCTGATTATAGCGTGAAGGCCATTAAATATAATATGTTAAAACATTCCGTCAGCAATATTAGTTTGTTAGTACAGATAGTGAATTGTCAGTTCAAATTAATAAAATTGTTCATTTAGACTCATTTAATTTCGAAAAAGTTCTATGTTATTTCCAACGACTCTCGGCAACCTTTGATTTAATTATGACCGTCAGTTGGTCCAGTGTCTAGCCATAGGTCTTAAGTTTAACTGTTCAGTTAATAGTAAAAGTAAAGTAAAAAATGTTCTATTTGACAAAAAAAGCGACATCACATTTACATAAATTACAAAAAGAAAAACATTGTGCCCTGCTGTCAAATAGGGGCACCGATTTTCAGCGGGTCCCTTGACGTTGATCCCTGCTGCCGAAGGAGGAAGGTAATACAGTATATCTAAGCAACATTACCTAATCCACGCTTGTATACGTGAAATGAAAAAGTATAGCCCGTGTATTGCATACAAATTAGCCCAAAAAAGCGCGGTCTTTTCATCAACACAGTAGGTGCGATAATGTAAGTCAAACACTGTCCAATGAATACATTAAATAAGGGTCTGAGTCCACAACGGATATGTTAATATTAGTTAAGCGCCGGCGCAACATCCACTGTTTAGGCCTACGCTGAATTTTAATTGTGCTTGACTGGACACGGAATTTTAAGTGGCTAGTTAGCATATTATATGGACGCTAATAGATTTGATGGCTTGTCACATTTAATATTTTGTATGCCATTGAAAAACAATATTATAATAATTCGAGTTCTACATGCGCCACAGTCTCTAAAGTCGCTGACATAGCCCGACGGATTAGCAAGCTGAAGTGGCAGTGGGCAGGGCACATAGTAC